CCCCCGCGCCCAAGAAAGCTTGTTTGCTTATACAGCAGGGGTCAGCCAAGGGGATAAAACCAGGTTGGCCCCTCAACCTATTTTGTAGGAGCTGCCAGCTAGGAATAGTTTTTAATTTTAGCAGATCAAAAATTGACAACAAAAACCGTGTAGCCCATTAAGTCTAAAATAAGTTGGCTGGTCCCTCTTATATTTGATTGTATGTGCTTAAATACTTTTTGCTCATCTTCAAATTAGATCATTCCCTATTTACCTCTATAATATACCTAATTCTCTTGCTATTCAAATGGATGTGCTAGGAAAAGCCAAGACTTGTGGAAACGCATAGTCTTTTTTTTTTTTTAAGGTTTGACAGCCGCTGAACTTAAGGTTTTTTTTTTTTTAAGTAAGTCTTTTTTTCCTAAAGAAAAAAAAAAATAGGCACAGAGGTCTGGCTACATAAAATGAGTCTTCTGCCACCCAGTCCCAGGGGTGAGCTGCTGCTCCATCCTTTCTAAGGCCTGAGAAACCAACCATCTACAGCGGTCCCTGTGGTTGTTACACAGGTAAGGTCACATGTGCAACAAAATACACAGAAACTGTTAAATTTATCATACATATTTACTTAATCTATACAGAATTGAGTAGATAAAATCAGATTCACATTAGTGAAAAATCTCTACAAAATGTCTCTGAAAAGCAAAACAAGACTGCCTCTGAACAATTCGTATCCTCATGAAAGACGTGGGCTGTAAAAATAAAGCCGTGTGTTTAGCACAAACTAGAAGATCTCTGCATTTGTTTTTCACAGTTATTTCCATCTACAGTCTGAAAGAGGTAGATTTTTCTGCAACACCTGAGAATTGAATTGTGATAACCAGGTGTAATAAAGGCAGTTGCATACATAACTAAAAAACACTGGTCTCAAGACCAAGAAATGTAATCCTAATAAGTCTGAGGATGAAATGGTCCATGATCCAAGACCCAAGTATTCTCTACTCCTCGGAGTCTACCGCCACTATAAATAATACACAGCAAGATTGCATGATGGTGCAACAAATGCAACTGAAGGAAATGTGACATTTAAACCTTTTCTGGACCAGCCTGACAGCATTACAGTGTTCTAGAATACGGTGGATACAGGGTGTGCTACAAAGCCACAACACTGGGCTGGTGAGGTGACTGCTTTAGGAGGGTGGCTGCAGAGGGGCCCGCTTGTGTTTATTCACAGGGTAATGGGAGGAAAGGACCCCTCATGCATCCCAAACAGAATCGAGCTCCTTTAAATACCACAATCGCATCTAGCTACAAATACCTAGTAAAAGCCGAAAGCAGCAGGCCAAGGACTGTTAATGACATTGCTTTAGAAAGCCCTTGAAAATAGGCAGCGCGTCCAAGATTTACATCTTCCACACAAGACAAGCACCACAAAGAAACGTGGTGGGCTACACGAATGGCTTCAACAGTAAGAGCTGTACATCCAGCAGAGTTCTTTGAAATAGGATCATCAGTACGAATTTTAAAGTAGATTATATTTCTGATATATACCTTCATTTCCTCTAGGGGAAATGAGTCCAACATTTCATCTAGTAGCAGAAAGGAGTATTTATGCGAGGCCATCGGAGGAGGAGAATATTTGTTTTGCTTCCGACTCATTTTTGACAGCGTAATGAGAGCACCTGCTCTGTGGTTTTCTTTTCCTCCACTGTCTGGCCCCTTGACTCCTGTGACCAATGGCGGAAGCTTCTATGAGACAATTTTCCAATTCCTTTAACCCACTTTAGACCATGAATATGACAGGACTTTACAAAGACAGTTTTAAGAGAAAACGCTTTTAACTGGACAGAACGGGCCGGATTCAGTCCAGTGAGCAATTTCACTGTCAGTTTGATAGCTTTGCTCCGTGGAATGTGCTAATATCAATTCTAGTAGAGCCTCTTTATTTCATAAATTATTTCAATGCAAATTTTATCAGGGACAAAGTCCAAACTTCCATGGTGCAACCTGACTTATCATTTGCATAACTCAGCCATATTCAACATTGTTAAGAACAAAGGAAAATTAAAGAACTAATTCAGAAGTGACGTGCTTCATACGGAAAGTTCCCCCAGTGCAAGTATAGAAACCTTGATGATACTACTGGCTTTTTACTTAAAACACTGTAATTAAGAAAAGGGGTGAGAATCAGACCAAAAGCATCATAGATCCTCACTACTTAAACTCTCTGCCAAGTCTTCCCAAGTTAAAAGTGTGGGTTTCAGTCTTTCTGATTTGGAAATAAAACCCATTTCAGTTAGCATAATCCACAATTAAAATTCCCGTTTTAAAAACCTGGAGAACTTTGCTAGCAGGATTTGCAAAAACAGTTGAACATGAAATTTCAAATAGCCAGCGGGCAGCATGGCAGTGGAGGGACTTCTGCTTAATGAAAGCTACACATGAACTTAACCCTGTCTTAAAATGACAACTACCGATGGCCGCCTTCTGTGGGAAGGGGAGGATGCGTACCCAAATCCCAAACTGAAAGCAAACCACCATACTCCACAGTGAACATTTAGGTGGTCCAAGTTCAAACACGGGTTCTAGTTCTAACCTGGAAACCAAAGCAGTAGGATTGTTTTTAGTCACAAACATTAAGCCTGTTTCGTTTGTCCAATGATCTGTATATACTACTTTAAAAGTGACACCTTTATGTACGTAATCTGCCAAAACTTTTGAGTATTCGAGGCTTGCAGCCATGTCAATTTGTCAAGTGATATAAATATTATCAAAAAGCTAATTTGATTCAAAGATGCTATGCTTATTTCTGACCCAACCCTAAGTTTATTTTTACTTGGCATGTAAGTGGGCTATTAGACAAAACTAATCATCTTGATTTTGTGTAATATTAATGGGGGGGTGGGGGCAGGATGTTTGAATCAATATTGTTTTCACATCAAGGAACCATTATCAGAACAAAGTTCCCTTGTGATGATCGGCCCTGTCTTGAGTGAAATTTGAATAATTCTGTGCAAGGAACAGGGAAGATAGGACAAGGCGATGGTCACATGCATTCCAATGAAGGGAAATGAAGCAGATGTGCAACACGGCTGAGGAAAATGTAGAGAGGAAAACTATTCAAAACCGCTAAGCAGCCTCCTGTACCACGTAAGTCCAGTAGTTCTAAGAAAATACAGATATGGTAGAAAAAGTAAGAAAATTTTCACCACAAAAACAATAGTTACTACTAACAGAAAGTTATACACAAAATATAGCTCTCGATACAGTGATCATACTTCCTTTCAGTCAACGGACTCGATACCTGGCGCGGCGCCTGCGGACACAGCTGCTTTCTCCTTTGAGGCCCTGGGCATGGCCTCCAGGGGGCCTCCCGGGGCACCTGTAGAAGCAGTGTTCGGCTCCCTGGGGGCCACCAGGCCACTGCAGGGCTGTGTCCCAGGCAGCGCTAGATGGTCACCTGCAGCTCTCCCCAAGACCTGCTCCTTCAAGACTTCCACCCTCTCGTTGAGCTCGTTCCTCTCGGTTTGAAGAGCCCGGCACAGCTTCTCTAACCGGTCCAGTTTGATTTGAAAGGCCTTGTACTCTTTATCACGGACAGTTTTCTAGAAGGAAAAAAGAATCATGTAACCTCGCTGAATACAAATCACTTTATAAAGGATACAAACAAATTAACCTGAGCCATATTAGAAACAACTCGTTTAATCACCTCTTGACCACACTGTTTCCTCACACGCCACCTGACCACGTAGCTAGCTTCGCTGCATACCTATCTACAGGTACCACGTGACACTTCTAACGGTTCCTACTGTTCTGGGGTGACAAAAGAAATAAGCAAAATTCACTTTTAAAAACAGTTTGTATTGATCAACTATTGAGAAAATTTTAAGATACTCCTCACAAAGCTAAAGATCAAAAAATTAAGGGCCTGATTAAACACAGAAAAGGATTCTTTTCTACATAGATTTCTCTTGTTCTACCAATTTTTAGGTGAGAACAAGATGCAAGGTGTGAAATTTAGTATCTGCAGAGGATACATTTCAGCTGGCAAAAAAAAAAAATTTTTTTTTTTTCCTCCTTTGCTGCCTTTTTTTGAAGACTCCGTCAAAGCAAAAAGAAAGGCACCAGAATTGTTCTCCGCACTCCTGCCCTGGGCAATGTGCTCAGCATTTCTGGAGATGGGCCGCGTGGCGGTGACATCAGCCCCACCTGGATACTTGGCAGAAAGATTCTGCAGCCCCACCCCAGAACTAGTCGAGCCAACTTTGGGTGGAACCTAGCCATCGTGGTCTTAACAAGCTCGAGTTCGACGCAAGCTCCACTGAGAAATCACTGCTCTAGAAGCAAGGAAAGTCTCGAAGCTTTATGGCCATCTCCAGCATAAGCCTGGGCTAAGCAACTGCACGGCAGGAAATGCAGTACCTCCCTCAGGGCCCCCCACCTGCAAGCCTGAAAGACCTGTGCAGATTCTACGGCGCTACCCCCCCTCCCCCAGCTCTGGCCAGAGCCGTCAACTCTGGCAGTGGTGTCACCGCGTGCCCCCTGCCCTGTTAGGTGCTGGGGCTTCATGAGTCCCCATGATGACAAACACACCTTCACCATGGGAAACTACCTCACCTCTTCAGCCATTTGCAGAAGTGCTTTGTTGTTGTTTTCCCATTTGGTGCGCCATATTATGGTTTCTTTTTCCAGTTTTTTAATTTTCTTTGTCATCTGTCAATCAACACAGTTGCAAATGTAAATGCTCAGTTCCATTTCTCTCTCCACCCTGTCCCACCACAAGAAGGTCTGTTCCACCCCAGCCCCATCGTTGCCCCAGCCGCGCGCAGCGGACCACTATGTCTGTGCGTCGGCAGCAGAGCTGATCTCAGGGCCTCCTGCGGTGGCAGCAGCAGAACCGAAGTAGGGGTTTCAAATGATGAGAAAAACAAACCTAATCTCCTCAATTTCAGAGGCAGCAGCACATGGAGGAAGCGGTCAGACAGCACACTGTGAACTCTAACTTAGGCTGGAGTGCGTCTTTCATTCCAGCTGGGGTTAACAAGGAGACCTCCCCGGGCTGTACAAAAACATGTCCAGGTTAGGGGTTTTCTATTCATTAAACTACTTTGTCTGGTTCTTGGAAGCATAGGGGTTTCCAGCTCCCCCCAAAGATTCAGAATTGCTGATCTACCACAACCTCCAAGACCACATCAATCTCAGAACTATAGGGGCGCCTGGGTGGCTCAGTTGGTTATGCGTCTGCCTTCGGCTCAGGTCCTGATCCCAGAGGCCTGGGATCGAGTCCCACATCGGGCTCCCTGCTCAGCGGGAAGCCTGCTTCTCCCTCTCCCGCTCCCCCTGCTTGTGTTCCCTCTCTCGCTGTGTC